CGGCCACCACGGGACCAAACCCCTGGCCAGATAACGATTTGGCCGGATAAACCAACCAACAATGAAAATGATAATTCCTACCAGTAATAACAATAGGTAATCAATATATGTAGTGAAAAGTATCATTCCAGTCTGTTCTGGGATTATTTTTAGAAAAATAAACTTATTTGTAAAAAGGAAAAAAATATTTGTAGGTTAAAATCGTTAAGTAATGAAAAACTTACAAATATTATGATTCCAGGCAACAAAAACTATTAATGGAGGTAAAAATGACTATAAATTGGACTTGAAAATCATTAGGACTTAAATGGTACATGCATTTCAACTCAACATTCTTATCCATTTTGTAAAATACAAAAATTAATAATACTGTACTGAACTACTTTGGAAATAATCAACCAACTGATCAAAGGTTAGATCAACTTAGAATAGTGACACAGCAAATAAATGTATAAACAAACAGATAAATAGCGAGAACAATTTATTTGATGACTTGAGAAGTCACAAAGACTAGTGCTTGCATCTAAACGTCTGTAAGTTGTGAGAAAAACATTTTGATATTGGCTTCCTGGAAGGGGCCGGATAAACAGAGGACCGGTAAAACCAAGGCCGGATATGAGGGGTTCTACTGTAAGCTATTACTGTAGGTGTAAAAACTTGCCAATCAAATAAGTGATTTTCTCATAAATAATTATAATATTAAAACCACTTTTGTAACACAAGCTTTTATTTTCTTATTTTAATTCAAAACTCATGTTTTGTTTACAAGAGTTACAATATTAAAATAACCATATGAATTATAACATGTGACATGATTGAGCCAGTAGAAAAGAAACAACTTTAAACATTTTCTAACACACTCCCCCCTTTGCGAAGGCTTTCGCAAACTACATGTTTTTAGAGGAAATCCACCAGTTCAATTTTTTTTTTCAATTCGTTGGATAAGCAAGATCTACTACTGTAGTTTGAAATGTTTGTTCTCTCTTCAGGAAGTGGGGGTAAAGGGACTTGCAGTGATTTAACTACTATCTTTTTACACATGTGCACATTTTTGTTTATAACCCTACCAACAGTTTAAAAGTATCCACACTCTTCCTCGAAAAATATCAAATAAGGCTTGTACACCCGCGTGCGTGTTCTGTACATGATACTGTTCGATTAGTCTGTCAACTGCAATATGATAAGATGGTAGGATAACAGGATACAAGAATTCTTGACTATATTCTTCACATAAACCTTGATTTTAGTCGGATGATACCATAATCATCTATGCATTTTAAATTCCACTCAGTGTAGAACATTTGAGTTCTGCAGGGAAACATTCTTGTTTAATAAGTCTAAAAATAACTTTTTCAGCTCTTTTAAACTCATCTGCTTGAATGTTACACTTTATTCTGTCATTCGTCTCTTGCTATGTTTCAAAGTCCAAGTCTTTTGTAATATCATCTTAGGCACTAAACCATTGGGTGGTGCGGTTGTCTGTAGCCGTTTTTCTGCTGCATGGCGATTCGTTTCTAAAGGTGGATCTATCCATGGAAGCTTCACAACATAACGCCCATCCATTTCCCAGTTGACTGTTCTTTTTGAATATTCAAGTACTTTTGCATCCTTTTCTTTTTTATCAAGCTGTTGGATGGGGTTTAGCGATACCTAATGGTTGAACGTCCCAAAAGTTTCCTATGTCAGATGTTAAGGTGGATGCAAACATCGTTGAAACGAATGATGATTTTCTATTTGATGTGCCAACAACAGTCCAACCAAGCTGGGTCCTTATTGCTACCAACTGATCGCTCACTTTCAAGAACTCGTTCGTGATGATATTGGTCCAGGCATCAGCTCCAATCAACACATCGATGTTTGTATGATCTGTATTTGTTGCTGTTGGAATGTCAGTTAAAATGATGTTTTGCTTCTTCAGTGCATCAATAAGATTTTGGTCTGTCAGTTGAGGAACTTGACTACAAATGATAGGCTGCTCCAATACATTAAGACTCATTCTGTAGTCTGAACTCAAGGATTCCAGAGCAAGGGTATAAAATGCATGTTGTCTTGGCTTCATTTTCCTTCCTCCAAGAACTTCTTGTTGGACCAAAACACTTCCTTTAGGTTTGAGACCTAGTTGTCTTGCACATTCTTCAGTTACAAAACTCTTCTGAGATCCTGAATCGCACAGTATTCTTACCCTTTTCTTTGTGTTATTCGGACCTAAAATGTTAGCTGAAAGGGTCTGTAAATAAGTAACCTTATTTTCTGTTGTTGTTACAGAATTAGTGCTATTCTGTTCGGGCTCCTTTTTGTTGAATACATCTGACTTTTCATCATTAGTCTGCACTTTCTTGCATAGGACAGTTAAGTGGTTACCTTTGCAGAAAATACACTTAACTTGTAACCTACATTTACTTGCTAAATGACCTTTTCTTAAACATCTTAGACATGCTCCTTTTTTCTTTACTATCTCAACCCGTTCATCTCTGTTCAAGTCGATCAATGAAAAGCATTCATGTGACAAATGAGATCGTTTTGAACAAAATATACAGTTGTATTTAACAACTGACTCCGGTTTGGAAGATGATACAAGAACAGCAGCAGAAGGTAAGCTTGTCTTTGGCTTAAGAGATTTAGTCGTTTTACATTCTTGTTTACCAACAGTATCTTGATCAAACTTATTAACCCGCAACTTTAATCTTTCCTCTGCATCAACTTCAACTTTTAAGAAATTCAAAAGCTGAACGAGACAATTTTCTGGTTCTTTAGTTGATACATTTTGTAGAACACGGTGTCTTTCCCATACTTTAAACACAGGTTCTGGGACAGCTGATTCTACTAAAGGGAAAAGTATTGCTGCAAATTTGTCTTTGGTTACACCCAATGAATCTAAAGATCTAAGCTGTACCCCCAATTTATCATAAAGATATGTCACAGAAAGATTTTCCTCTCTTTTAAGAACTAGGGTTAACAATTCCCTTACATAATATTCAATGAGGAACTCGTCTTTCCCATATCGGGACTTCAAAACATCTACAGCTTTTGCATAGTTTTCTTTAGATGCTGGAAAACCTTCAATGAGTTTTTGAGCAGGAGAATCTGGTTTCATTGATTGGTAAAGATACTCAAATTTGTCTTCATCTTTCAAATTATTGTCATCATGTATTTTAGCAAATTGAGACCAAAACCCAATCTAATTTTTTATTTCTCCATCAAATTTTTTAAGCTCAATTTTTGGGAGTCTTACTTTAGTACAATTTGAAGGGGCCGGTATACTAATATTTGAATGTGAATCAACTGCAACAGCTAGCTGAGTATTTTGAACTAACATAGTTACCTCATGATACTTCTCATTGTATTCAGAAGCTGTTGTCATCTCATTTTCAATGTCCTCTTCATTAGCATTCTCATTTTCTATCAACTTGCTTAACACTTTTTCATTTACTTTCTGTAATTTTTCATGAAACTCCATAAATGAATTATATTTTGGTAAAATAATCCTCAAATCAGCATTGTTGTCTACAAGTTCTTCAATAGCCTTGGCCTTTTTGGTAAAAACTGACCTAAGTCCTTTTCTTTCAGTTTCACTCATATTAATTTAAATTATACAATATTAGACTTAAATATCATATAATCCTGGCAGGGTCGCCAAATGTAAAAACTTGCCAATCAAATAAGTGATTTTCTCATAAATAATTATAATATTAAAACCACTTTTGTAACACAAGCTTTTATTTTCTTATTTTAATTCAAAACTCATGTTTTGTTTACAAGAGTTACAATATTAAAATAACCATATGAATTATAACATGTGACATGATTGAGCCAGTAGAAAAGAAACAACTTTAAACATTTTCTAACAGTAGGTCTCATGGCAAGACCTAGACTCGGGACCAATTTTTTGTTTGTTTTGATGTTCAAATTCGTAGATATGTCCATTAGCACTATAACTCAAGTAAAAATTATATGCATTTGATGAAGGTAAAAACCTGTAAAACCTAAGTTTATTCAAACGAGTTCGAGAACTAGCACAATCAAGCTATGGGAACAGGGTTTTCTACATCCTGGGGTAAAAATAAAGTTTTCTTATTTTTGACTAGGTACCAAAACATAACGTTTTGCAATATTTTCCAAACAATTTTGTAGAGCTTAAAAAATCAATTTAGTACTCTAAGCGTTGTTGTATGGCTATGGTTACAGAGAAAGTAAATAAAAAACTGTAAATTTAAAATGTCTGATACAGTATTTGAATGGAGAGTAAACTGTTGTAGTCTGTAGTTTGCTTTTTGTAGGACAGAACCAGGTGAATGAAAAATCTGTTAGTAGTTTGAGTTGATTGTATGGAATTTGTGAAGCAGTATGTGGTTAAAATATGCGTTTAGTGGGGACAGTAGAGTATAGGATGGTAAGAATAGATGAGTTTACAGGAAGTACAGTATGTATCTACATTATTAAATTAATGAGTAAGAAGAATGTAGGGAGTAAATCATAGAGATTAATAGAGAAAAACACAAAAATTGCCATAAATTTGAACCATTAAATTACAGAGTTGGAAGTTGTGTCTTATTGTTCAGGGTTAAGATGTATATAAATTTGTTTGTCAAAATCGTTAGACCCGTTTTGTTAAAATCAGATTTTTGTTTTTTTTTTTTCGTGGTGGGTGAAAATCCCCATCACAAAATAAAAATTAAAAAGTCTTCATTTTTATTTTGTCTTTATCACCCATGTACTTCCTTCATCATCCACATACAAAATTTCATCAAAATATGACTACTTGTAGTCTGTACACATACACACACATAAATACATACATGTATACATACATACACACACACAAACACAGACATCATTTCAAAAACCACATTTTGGTTTCATGGGAACCCAAAATGAATATTTCTACCCAAAACTCAAACTGAAAAATTTTGACAAAAAATACTTTCTTATAATAGACTAGACATAGATTAAGGGGAAAAGGTAAAACCTATCTTTATCTGAGTGTACTGTGATGTTCTTACCACAGCTGCTACCAACTGTGTCTTGTTGCTTGACTGATGCAGCTTTTCCACTTCCGTAGCAGCTACAGAGTTGTCTCCGTACATGACTGTAGCCACCACCACACTCCTATCAGAACAACATTGTATGCACTCACTTTAATTGCACTTTAAAGTCAGATTTTAATTATCATATAAAAATTAAATTGTGTAGTTTAGTTACACGATTTTCAAATCTGTGTGAGGGTGTGTTCATATTCTACTACGACGCCTAATAAGTTTTTACCATTTTATTAGTGAATTTTGTTCTGAAATCAATGGTGGATCGTAGATGTGTAACTATTTTACACAGTAAATTTAAAGAACCAATATCTCCTCTCCTTGTTGCAAACGCTTAACACAAGTAACTGCAATGAGCACGTTACACTTATACGTCAACCATCTACAAAAACAGATGCTCTGCTAGTCTATACTATTATAAAATTGAGGTGGTGTCTGTCTGTCCGTCTGGGCAGCTGTCACGACTATAATACTAAACCGATACAGCCAAAATTAAGCACAAAGATGTTCCACATATCTAGGAATGTCATAGGCATATTCACTTCCATAGCCGAGTTACTCTCGGGATGTCCCTTGGATGTCCAAAGTTTTAAGGTGAGGTTTTCAAAAGTAAATACAGTGGAACCTCGATAAGAAGACCCTCGATAAAGTCACTCTTGATAACAAGTGTATTTTTAAATCCCCTTGAATTTATTTTACCTCTAAACACATGTTATTGCAAACCTCAATAAGAAGTCAACCTTGATAACCAGATTTATTTTATAATCCCCATGAGAGTCTTGTTAGGTATCAAGGTTCTACTGTATTAATAATTGGTTTCCATGAAAACATGAGAAAATTCACAATCTTTACCCTATGTGTTAACATTTCAATGTAAACAATCAGAACTGCCAAATGTTTGATTCACAATTTCAGACAGCTGATCCAAACCAATTAAATATATGATTAACACAACTATGTGGTAGGTTTTTTTTTAGGACTATTTTAAAGTTTTGTCATGAATTATTTATTTTGAAACTACCGTATGTCATTGATTATGGAAATTTAAAAAAATCCACAACCGTTGCTGTATCAACCCAGGCCTGGGGTTCTGTTAAGTTATGAAAATAATGTTATTGGTATATTTTCATGTAAAAAGTAGGACAATTACAATGTAAGTTACCGGTATACTTTTAGTATAAATTTGGTGGCTTTTTTTATAAATTCAAACTACTTAACTGAAGTGTTTGGATTAGGCGGTATTAATAGTACATCTTCTCGTTGCGAAGCATGGGTACAGCAGCTAGTATAATATAAATTCAAACAGATGGTATTTTTGGCCTCTGGGGACATCCACCATGCCTTACCATGAGACCTACAGTAATAGCTTATTCCATCCATATATGGGAAATTTGTTAACAGATTGCTAGAATAGCAAGTCCCAACCAAATATTGTAAATCAAGGGGCCACGAGAGTCTGCAGTTGGTGGCAGCCAATACCACGACTGTACTAGCACGATGTTGCAACATCACCTGTTCACTACTTTTCAACACTAAAATATACTAAACAATATTTTCAAATAAGCTGGTATTATTAGATTTGGTAACACCACACTTTCCTCATTGGCTCCTTCAAAGTCATGTGGTAAATAGGCTCCTCCCTCTACTGCAGACTCTCGTGGACCGTACTGTATAGCATCAATAAACAAAGAATTTAAAAAGAGTTCCACTAGAGCAATTGGCAATCAGCTGAAAATCGCTGACAAATCTTTGTCTTTTCAGAGACAAAATGCAATTGTTTTTCGCATCATTGTTTTTCTTGGTCAATGGTTTAGGAAGATAAAGCAAACACAAGCTAAGCCATTTCAACATAAACCTACTTGTCAGAGTGCCCACTACCCTGCGAGAGATCCTGGACTGGCATGGGCCCGCGATAGTGAGGTAGAGGTGTGACTTGCTGAACAGTGACTGGCGCGCCAGTGGCCTTCTCTAGTAGCTGCTCTGCAGAGCTCTTGTCAGGACGTCCTGGTACCAAAAACACCAACACTCGCACTCCACTGGTATGGGGGTATACACGCACCTGAGCTATACTCCACTTGGTGGGAATACCTGAAATTATTACATAACAGTATTTAATGGTTACACAGTATGTTTTACCTTTTAATTCTAACTAGTTTGGGTACACTTCCATATCTGTTGGCACAAACAACCTTATGTAGGTTAACCTTACCTAACTAACCAAATGATATATCGAATAATTGATATCGATCGATATTTTCATTCGGTTGTTTGTGCCAACAATATGGAATTGTACCCACTGTTTTTTTGTGTTTGGACAGTTTTTATATCAGTACAATTCAAACATTTTATTTTTTATTTTTATTTTAACTTGCTGCAAAATACAGAAAAATATATAGGCTCATCTACGCAGCTCACGAGAAAATGGTTGATAGATTGTCCTCAGTGAGTCCTTTCACAACTTTTGTTTTCCTTGTTTCTGGTTCAAGTCACTGTTGTTTTCACTTCTACATTTATACCTTTCAATGACAACTGTCTATAGACCTAAGAATAAAATTAACTATTTATAACAAAAACTAGCAGAGTACCCGTCCTTCGTACGGGGTTGGCATGCAAGTTTAAAATGCTTATTGCAGTTATACTCAAGCTTTGCGTTTGCAATGGGGAAGGACACATTTTGATAAAATTTGCTTCTTTAAATTGACGGTATACTAATGGTATCACACATCTACCATAGCCATAATGAACCCCATGTGTTTGTAGTTCATGTTCTACCACTTCCCCTAAACAATAAAGAAAAATAGATTATTACGAATTCACAAAAAATCACAATATATTCATGACACTTTAAAATATAAACATAACTGTAAACAATCCTACTTTGACAGTTCTCATTGCGTATCACAGTTTTTTGTTGCTGCTTAGTTCAAATAAGCTGTTTACATAAATGCAAAAAAGATTATAGTGCTGCACCCTGTTGGTAAATCTTATAACTTTTTAATGCTTTTGTATATCATAGAACCAACTTTTTTAGTCGAAACAGCTGACTAAATTCTATAATTCCCTTTAAATATGAATACTCATTAGGTTAACATGGGGAACTACAGAGCCACTGGGGCAGAGCCCGAAAGGATTTTTGAGATAAGAATATGCCTATATGTTAATCGGGAATGTGAGCTATCATCATGCCAAATTTCAGCCCAATCCATCCAGTGGTTTATGCGTGATTGAACTTCAAACAAACACACAAACTTTCACATTTATAATATTAGTAAGATAAAGACTTTCATGACTTTCGTTTCACAATGTGATACTAGATAAAACTACTATAGTTTGGCCGCTTAGAAAGCGACCTCCTCTTGCATTGGTTTAGCATTAGCACGCAGGTCGTTTTCTATGCGGCCGAGCTCCAACCTAAAGGTGAGTGAGCGTAGCGAACGAACTTCAACCAGGACGTGATTGAGCCATGCGAACGAGATCATCTTGAAAATTAAAAAGTTAAATGGGGCAAAGCCCGCGGGATTATAAATAGTCAAAGGAAAGACAACGTCTGCCGGGTTCAGCTAGTATTTATATATATTGTTATTTTTGATATATGGTTTAATTATTAACAAAAAAAGACTAATATAATATACAGGTTGGATCACGTAAGGTCTCCACTATTGATTTCGGGCAAAAAGGCATGTTTTATGTCCAACAGTAAATGTTAAACATTGTTAGATGCTCTTTTTTTCACAGATCGTAATTCATTGACTAATACATTATTTTCTGTTTTTAATAGAGTTATGACGGTTTCCAGAGTCCTTATTGATGTCAGCATATTGCTAGTTTCCTCTTTACGTACTTTACATTCAATGCAGCAGTTAATCTTCTACCTTGTTGAATTCGTACCATTGTTTTTATGAACTACTTTTTCATCTTCTGCTTTCACAAGCATGATTGATTCCTTAATATTATCTTTATTTCTTAAGAGTCTTCATCACCCTGCGTTTTGGGGATATGACCTTGGGGGGAATGTGTTGAGGACTGGCGGGTAGTGCAGGGTCATTATGCGCACCATTCTGAAAACATCGTAAACATACGACTAATAAATCGACACGTCGGTGATTCATCTGCCGCCTGAGCCAAGTTTCGTAAAAGGCTAGTAGCGAAGTAGCCTCTGACAAAACATGTAAATTTCGTCCCCCGCTTCAGAGGTCGTTTTACAACAGATTTTCTTGAAATTTGGTATCAATGTAGTTGAATAGTTGTATTAGAGCTCTTATACCTCAAAAAGTTGAAAATGAAAAAAATAATTAGTTTTATCAGTGTCTAAAAGTGACTCAATTTCCTTGACTAAGATATTTTTGTACTTATATTATTGATTATCTTTGATATATCATGTACTAGCTGTTGTACCTGTGCTTTGCAACGGGAAGAGGACACAAAATATAAACATTTTTATCTTTAAATCTGTTGCATATAATAGTTACACATCCGCTAACGCTTTTAGAAACAAAATTCAACTTTTATGGCTTTAATAGAAACGTTTAAGTTATGACTTTTAATTCTGGTAAGTAGTAGATACCACCATTTCATCTCCCTTATTTACATATCTTTTTATTTATTATTGACATTTTAAATTTCAATTTTGAAGTTACTACTAATTATAAAATTTAAATGAATTTTTCTTTTAAATTTCACTTTTCTTTATTGAGCGGAGCGAGCGAAGCTCTTATACTACACTCCTGCTTTTGTTTTACAAATACTCCTCCTGAACGGCTGAAGCGATCTTCACGAAATTTAACACAGTCATAGTACCCTACCATGGGAAGGTATAAATCTGAAATGGTACAAATCGGACCATAGGACTTTTTACTACATGAATGCAAACTTTTAGAAATTTAACATGGGCCTTATGGGTTAATTGGTCACCATGACAATATTTGCGAGTTAACACTAAGAAGTAAACAAGAGCCTCGACATATGTTAGTCAACAAATCTACCACATTATAAATACAGTACAAAAGAAAAAATCTTATGAATACTGAAGAGCATATTAATCTAATGCATGTAATACGAATTGAGTAACAATCAGTTCTATATTGAGTGATTAAAGTCATGCCGTTTATATTTAATTGTATAATCGTTCTGATCTTTTTAATAACAACAATGAATAGTCAACTAATTAGGCCTAAGCCTATATGTTACGTGGAGAAGGAGAAGATAAAACGAGGTAAAAAAAAAAAACACTACAACAAAATCACTCTGCCCTTGATTTGCAAGTAAATTTGTAAAAAAGGTACTTGTAGCTATAAAAATACTAAATCATTTTACAAAATGAAATCATCACAACCACTTGGTTTACAGATAAGGTTTAAAACTAAATGGTGTAACTTAGACAATAAAATCCAAAAGGATTAATACTAATATTGCTGTGTGCACTTCGAAAAAAATTAATCACCAATTAAATTAGGCCTATATGATTCTCTATCAAATTCATGAGAAAATGTAACAGCGTCGTTTAACCAAATAGGCCTACCGGTAGGCTTATTGTCTACCACCTCGCTTTACTCTGCGATAATAACTTACAAAATAGTTTTTAAACATAGCCATATAGTAGTCTAAAGTTAAGTTGGAAAAATATATAGGTTCCAAATACTAAGAAAAATAAGGTTTCAAGGTAAACCAACTCCTAAAGTTTTCACTTATTCTTTTTAGTCTACATGGTATTGATAAATTTTATTGCGCAAAAGGGAAATTTTAAAAGTGGTTGACAATATATTTCTTACTTTTAACTGCTATTATTCGCTGTTAGGAAATGATTACAAACAAAAAGTTAATGTATTATTTATAAAAGATCCATTCTTATCATAAAACTAAATTATGAATTGGTCAGATAAAAAAACTAATTAGTGAGGTTAAGAGAAAGAAGACATTGAAGAAAAATTATAAGGGTTGCCAAAATTAGGCTGATGCACCATATATTGCGTTTGGATACTGACAGTATTTTATGTGAGCAAGACACATATAGTTAATGTAGACTTTGAATATGTACTGCAATTCCTATTTGCAGTCTACTGGATTTCCATTAATATGAATAAAATATAACACTCATAGTTTCGATACTGCAATTAGACAATTCGTTGACGTGAACCCGACGTATCATTGACTTTGAATACTGCACAGACATCCCGATCCCATATAAGTGAAGCAGAAGTAAGCCTAAGCCTACCATTGACTTCGGATACTGCAATTAGACATTTTATTTATGTGAACAAAATAAATGGACCATTGATTTAGGATACTGCAAGTAGACTATTCATTTACATGTAACATTGAGTTTGGATACTATACAAGTAAACAATCCGTCTACGTGAACCAGACGTACCATTGACTTTAGAATCTGTAAATAGGCATTCCATTTATGCGAACCAAATATATCATTGGCGTTGGATACTGCAAGTAGACATTTAATTCATGAGAACTAGATGAAACATAGAATATGATTCCTGCAAGTAGACAATTCATTCTCTTAATCATGACTTATATGATTGACTTTGGATACTTACTGCAAATAGGCATTCTATTTAAAATGTCATTGACATTGAATTAATATGCTGGCTCCGCTCAATATTGCAAGCAGACAACTGCATTGTACACCTAGTATTAAATCACAAATCCTTCTATTTCAGTTTCTTCACTCACAATAAATCATTAGCAAAATAAGTCAGCTGTTTTAAACGAAATTGCTATGCCTTATCAATACAATCTTTTGAAATATTAAAGAAACTACATCTATAAGTACTATAAAAAATTGGAAACAAATAATTTAGCATTAAAGACAGCAGACAAAACTAATATGATTATCATAAAAATTTTTTTCCCATGTTAATCTTATGGAGAAATACAAAACTTTAAAGGGCCCCAGGGCCTCACTCTCTAATTATTTCCCTAAAAAGAAAGTTTCTTTACCACATTATCATGTTTAACTTCACATTACCATCGCTCTTTCCAATGAGACCATAAATATGACAATCGGTTCTGTAGTTTCGGAGGAGTAATTGTCACAAACATCCTGCTTGCATATTAAATAAGTATATATAGATTATCAAAGCATCAAGGACTAAACAATTTAACAGCAAATACAGTATATATGTTTCATTGCATCTCTGATTCTACTCTACGAAAATATCAACAAACAACTTAATATACAAACCAGTTCTTTTAATCAGTTCCATCATCCATTGGCTTTACATTTTCACACTTACCATTAAGTAAACTTAGTAACAGATATTTCATTGATTTTAGAAACAAAAGAACCCTGTGTACTGCTTAGTTTTATGATATTTTCCTTGGTTTAATTTAATCAGTGGTGTGGCAAAACACAAACAATAAATTTATCAAATGAAGTAAATGTGAACTGAAAGCTATGTTATTGCCATTTGATAATTAATTATAGTAACACATATACAACAGAATTTTAAAAACAAAAATCAACGACGTAAAATTTAGTTATTGATGATATTCTTTAGTTTAATTTATGCATAGGTTTAGCAAAACACAATATCTTAATTTACCTAAATATACATATAAATACCCCCGTCGCAGCAAACCTGCATACTAAGCGAATTTCCATTTACCCGGCTTGATTTCTTCTAAAATATTCCCTATAAATTTTCAGATTTATTTCCTAAAGTAAAAAGTGGTAAAAGCATCAATATTTTTGACAACATTGATCCAAGACAACCTACATAGGCCTACTTTAATCCCTGAGTGGCTTACCCATATCATAAGCTCGTACTGTCAGAGTAGTTATTGCAGATATTGTCTGTCTAACTGGACGGTTGACAGGCTTCACTACTCTCAGCTCCCCTGAAACAAATTTATTTAACTGTTTATCATATATACAGGGTGAGTTGGTGGGTTTTAAATGAGTTCCCCCCTACTGGCCCTACTGTTTTCTACATTTCTTAAGATATCATCTCCGGACCACGTCAGATCATTGTAGAGTGTAGTAAGTACTTCATTTTGACTGGGTATACATTTTTGGCCGCCATCTTGGATCCGCCATATTGGATACAAATTTTTTTTTTCAAATGTAAAGGTAGGGTTGTGACCCATTATTTCAAACTAGAATCGTACGCTGATTACAATGGTGCAATTAGATTTAAACAATCTTGATCTGTTCTAAAGTTATGAGGACTCTTTATACATTTATTTTTAGCCCATTTTAACATTGTGCAGTTACAAACTATGGCCATAATCTCAAAATAGTAGCCTATTAGATAAAGATAAGTATACACCACCATTCATTGTCGACCAATTTTCACTTGGTTATGACTGATGTAATTTTTTCGGCCGCCGTCTTGGATCCGCTATTTTGAAATGTGATAAATTAATTAAAATATGAAGGTGGTATTGTGACCCATCATTTTGAGCTACCTTTTTATGCTGAACTCAATGCCGCAATCCGTTTATTCATTTGATTTGCATTTTTTGTTTTTGAAATATTTAAATTTTAAATTAGAGCATTTTAATATTTCATCAAGAAAGCTTGATAACCAAAAACGGATTGCAGCATTGAGTTCCCTATAAAAAAAGTAGTTCAAAATGATGGGTCACAACACCACCTTCATATTTTAATTAATTTATCACATTTCAAAATGGCAGATCCAAGACGGCGGCCGAAAAAAACTACATCCGTCATAACCAAGTGAAAATAGGTCGACAATGAATAGTGGTATAGGCTATACTTATCTTTATCTAGCACTATTTCGAGATTATGGTTTTAGTTTGTAAATGCACAATGTTAAAATGGGCTAAAAATAAGTTATAAAAAGTCCTCATAACTTTAGACAGGAACAAGATTTTTAAAGACTAATTGCGGCATTGTAATCAGCGTAAGATTCTAGTTTGAAATAATGGGTCACAACCCTACCTTTACATTTGAAAAAAAAACTTTGTATCCAATATGGTGGATCCAAGATGGCGGCCAAAAATGTATACCCAGTCAAAATGAAATACTTACTACTCTACAATGATCTGATTAGGTCCGGAGTTGATATCTTAAGAAATGTAGAAAAATGTAGGGGGGAACTCATTTAAAACTCACCCTGTATATTAAAACGTGACAGGGGTTTTTTCAACAAATTCAACAATGGAGTCAGTGGTGTATTTTAAAGCTGTAGCAGCCAAAATTCCATGTAGATCAGCTACTAAGTCAATTAATTCATTGTTTATTAATTCCTCTTTTAAGTTCATAAAGGCATTTTGTCCTGAATTTATTAGTTTACCACGGGTTCTTCGAGTGATCATCCTTATTGTATTAGCAAATTATAAGGAATATTATAAGGACCATAATACATTAATTTGAATCAAAACCGGCTTTTAAATAAAATCTGACATAACAATCACACTTTACCTTAACCCCGTTTGTGGCAAACCCGTGATCATTTCCAGCGATTTGATCAAATCCTGTGACTATTTTTTGGGATATCGGCGTAATTGGTGACGATTCCCTGTGATCGCGGCAAAGCCAGAATACAGTAACTTAGTAAGTTTCTTAAGAGATTGCGGCAACATCCACCATTATCTCAATACTCGGTACAATTTTTTGCGATCGCGGCCATTATCTGGGATCATATTTAAATCAAGGCAAAGTTCGTGATGATTCCCTGTGATCGCGGCAATGCCAGAATTGGAGTAACGTCGTAAAGTGTCTTAAGCAATTGCGGCAACATCGACCACTATCTCAATACTGGTGAAATTTTGTGCTATCGCGGCCATTATCTGGGATCATATTTGAATTGCGGCAAAATTTGTGAAGATTCCCTGTGATCGCGGCAACGTCAGAATTGCAGTAACGTCGTGTGTGTCTTAAACGATTGCAGCAACATATCCACCATTATCTCAATACTCGTGACAATTTTTTGCGATCACGGCCATTATATGGGATCATATTTCAATCGCCGCAAAATTCGTGATGATTCCCAGTGATTGCGGCAGTGGCTGTCATGATTTCTTGCGATTGAGGCAATTTTTGGTATTCGTAATAGTTTCATACGATTGTAATTTTCAACTATGCAAAACGAGAGAGGACATTTGGTAAGCGCCTAATTAATTTTTGAACTTATTAAGAAAAACTACTGTGTGAGGGGGGGGGGCAGAGGGGCCCCCTATGCCTGGTGGCCCCGGGTGCACGCTCCGTCCGCTCATAGTTAAGTTTGCAAGACGCTACAAGTACTTACGAAGTCCTGAGGCCAGCCTTGTCTCTACTTTCCCAAACCTGGAAGTGGCCATGAGGATTTGTGACTAACTGCTCTGCAGAACGATTGTTTTTAGCTCTTAAGAGGAGTCAGTGACTATGTCAACATTTAAGCAAACTAAACTAATCCATTTAATGATCATTTGTACAGAAAGTTACGTAACCCTGAAAATTAACTTTGATGGTTAAAGCGAGTTTGCCGAAAACTGCATTTGCCCCATAGTCAAGTGCCAATTAGCATCACATACTAACCATGGGCCAGTTCTCAGGTAAACTAACTGAACTCTATTCACTTTACAAAAAAATCCTAGTCAGCCACTTTTTGTTTTTTCACACTATACAGCAAGTACCGGTAGCTGATTTCTGGTCTCTCTGAAGACCAGAAAATCACAGTTTACAGAAAGGGATCTGTAAACTCAGCTGGAGAACACTATAAAGTTACATGTAGTCTGGTAAAATCAGCTGAAGTTCGGTAATTTACCACACTTTCAAGGGTAATATTTTCAATAACTAACACAATACATTGAGTTAGCAGTACAACGGTTTGGATAGACACTTTGTATTCACAATAGGCCTACATTTTAGAAAGGTAAATGTTACCTTTTTCAAGAAAATTTAAAATTCTGCTAGTTAAACTGTTATGGTAACATTGTTTGTATTAAACAGTTTTGTCACTGTAAGTACAAGTTGTGTTTTACTTACCCTGTATATTTCTTGCTGATAGTGTGACAAAAAGTATTGTACATAGCTCAAGGGGAACGTGTTTACGGTACCGGCAAAGCGTGTGTAAATAACTTGGCAAACCTCACATGGTAACTATCATGCTTTTGATACAAACATGTACTTCCCTGCCTTGCAGCCTAACATATTATTGATTCACGTAATGTTGAGATCTTCATTCTCGTAAACACATTAAGTAGCACTTATGTACAATTGTTTTTTCAAATTATTAACAGGTACGGTACATGTATGGTAGTAGGTCTAATGCCAATTAGCAAACATAATTTCACCTGTCTCTCCATGCACAGAGAAGCGATCTCCATAGTTTCCACTGACAATCTCATAGCGAACAATGTTGTTAGGGGGCTCAGCATCTGCATCAAGGGCCTGGAAATTAAAATTTGATAGTGAATAATTTTCAACTAGGTACCTTACTAAAAGATTATACATCACAGATATACTACAAACCTAAACTGTTCAATGAAGCAGTTTTAGCGAATTTCCCATATAGGGAATAAGCTATTTCCACAGGTCTCATGGTAAGACCTAGACCCGGGACCAATTTACTTTGTCGTTTTGAGGTCCCCAGAGGCCAAAAACACCATCCGTTCAAATTCATATACACAGTGTGTGTGTCCGTTAGCGCGATAACTTGAGCAAAAATTATCCGATTTTGATGAAATTTGGTACATATGTGTAAACCTACCTTTATTCGAACGAGTTTGCGAACCAGTATGATCGGACTATGGGAACGGGGGTTCATGGGAGGTTTTATGGGGTAAAAATTGATTTTTCCTATTTTTGACCCTAAAAACACAAAGTTTCATAATTTCTCTCCAAACCATTATGTAGAGCTTAAAAAAAGAAATAATTTTGTATATTGAAGCGTTTGTATGACCAACGGTTACGGAGATAATAAAAAAAAATTAAATTTAAAATTCCCATGTTATTCTTATGGAGAACAAATAAACTGTTGTAGTTTGCTTGTTTATGGACCATACATTTTAACCAAATTTGGAAATTTGATTTATTTCATACTAAGCTATCAACATTGCAATAAAAAGTACAACTCAATATCTTCCCTGTAGCAGCAAACCTAAGTACTTCCTAAAATTAAAGTTATTTAAATAAGAAATAAATCTGAAAATTTTTAGGGAATATTTTAGTAGAAATCAAGCCAGGTAAATGGAAATTTGCTTAGTCTGCAGGTGTGCTGCGGCGGGGGTATTTATTTTTACCTGAGATTGTTATGTGTTGAATTAAAGTGAGGGACGCTGAATAATAATTACTATCAATAATCTAAGAATAAATAAGCACTACACAGTACTATAATAAATTTAATGGACTAGAGAAATACTGGTATACATTATTTACAAAATGTCCTGTACTGTATTCCACATTTCTATTTATTCTCGTAAAGTAGTACAAGTACATAAAGTAGATAGAGCACAGCCACCTTTAACTCCAAGCCACAGCCTTCAAAGTGGCAACATCGCAAGTAGGGTTGTAACAGCTGTTTTGTTTGGAAGCAGCTAATGGTATTTGTGAATTTAAGAAAGCTTGGTTACTGGGCTATGAAAATATTGACTCCGATTTAAATGTACAGATATAGATTTTCAATTCATATTGTTTTGGTTTTCAATTCTGTATGTTTATTTTCAATATTTTAATAAATTTATGTTCATAACTTTAATTTTAAATCAATAATGTGTGAATTAATGACCTGATGTCACCTGTATGCCATGTTCTCTTATGGGACGTATGACACTAAACAATTAACCCTACTTGCAACATTGTCAATGCTACCAGGCCGCGGCCTGGAGTTAAAGGCAGTCGTGGATAGAGTTATTGACTGAGGCAACTACTCTTTTATTGTCGGACTTCAGATACACAATTTTAGTTCCCCTTAACACCGGGTAATAGTACTATACATTTTATGTTAATAGTTTAGAATAAATTAACAGGTATGTGGATTTAGAATTTACCTTTATAAATGCTCGTTCAACAAATCCTAGTCCATATTTGTCCAGAACAAAGTCCATTGGATCCCGAACAAATCTTGGTGCTTCATCGTTCACATCTATCACCGTAATTATCAGTGGTACTGTAGCCCTGTGGCCTAACCCATCCATATCTCTTGCCTCTACTATAAAACGGTACTCTGTAAAACATATTTAATTGTTGACATTGATATCATAAGGTGTGTAGAGGAGGTGTGTAAAGGTAAGGGTAAAGTGTACATTACCTTTACCTACTTTGGAGGTGGGGCTTGAAAGTAACAAAGCATGTTTTTGTATAGCAAGAACCTCAAAGACAAAGCCATCATGTTCCTGTTACCTGACATCCCTGCCATTTTTCAACTGGCAATATTTTGATAAGTTTTATTTACAAACGAATGAAGAAGTGTGTTGAATCATAACATAGTCAAAACTGAACATTTTTAACAATCTAGCAACAGCTGTAACATAATAATAATATTAAAATAAAGTGAAGACCAAAGGCATCACAGCTGTGGCCAAGTTGACGCCACATCAGCCCCCCGCAGAGCCTGGAAGTTCAAGAAGCTTGAGCTTTACATTTAGACCAGATCGAGTTGTATAGTTTCTGAACAATGATGCCGGGTTTGGAGGTTTGAGGGATGTGTTCGAAGATTGTATATTTTGAGGCTCTTTGATTGTTGGATGATTACATTTGTCAGGTCACACATATGCAGGCTTCACCCTGTCTAAAGCTCACTCGCACTTGTTTGCCATTCTGTGATATTACTAAGGATTTTTCATCACGAGAAATTACAGGATATGGTCCGTTATAGGGAGGCTGTAGACAAATTATTTGCAGTGTGGCCTATATTACGGAAACCTAACACTAACATTTTAGGAAACTTAAACTTAAAGTGAGGCATGGGACTCGCATGGTGGAGGCGCCGGGTACACACCCTTCTGACGACCCAACACAACCTGAACCTGAACATTCACAAAACCTTTATGAAAACAGGTCAATAATAGAACACGAACAATTGTTACATAGCTTTAATTCGTTAAACTCAAATCAAGAAACACATCAAATCACAACCAACTAGAAACCCCTTACACATCAACACAAATCGTATCTCACCCTAAATCACATATAACCAACAAAAACATGGCTGATGAGTCAAAAGAGAAACTTCCTCTAATAAAAGCAGGCACATACTCAGGTCTCCCTTCAGAAGATGTACATGAATTTATTCAAAAATTTAATATAGTATCAAGGTGCAACCATTGGTCCGAAAAAACTAAAATTGAACTTTTCCCCACGCACTTAACATCGACCCCGTATAAATGGTATGCACTCTACAAACATGAAAACAATGAAACTAGTTGGGCAAACCTAGAGTCTGAATTTATTAAAGCATTCAGCCCAGATGCATTAATTGATGACTTACAGACGGTCCTTGAAAATCGAACCCAAGGAGAAAATGAATCTCCAATGCAATTCCTATACGAAATCATTCACCTTTCCCACGGAATAGATCCCAATATGAATGATGCAAAAATAATAAAATTCGTAATTCAGGGAATAAACCGGAAATTTGTAATGACCTAGTGAGGATGGAAAACAACTCACTTAAACAGCTAAACGAAAATCTGCTAAAAATTGAATCTCAAAGAGCTATTAGGAATAAAAATCAGAGAAAATACCAAACCTCAGCTGAACGCGTTACCCTAATAAAACCTCAAACAAAGTCGGTAACATATGAAAATGACGAATTAGACAACTTAAAATCTGAACTTAGGGACATAAAAGATACATTATTAAGCCTCAAGGTCAAACCTGATGAAACAAACTACCCTAGGGACAACCCACACAAAGAAAGTTATCATCGTTCAAGATCCACACAAAGAAGAGACATTTCCCCTCATCCCAGACATGACAGGTCAGCTGAAAAATATAGGCCCAGAAGCACTTCTCGAAACTCACAAAATTTATCGAGAAGCTCTTCACCTCACAATTCACATCACTCCAACAGACAACCTATCCCAAGAACCAGATTAAATTATAGATCACCACACCGATCACAAAACACTCCACTCTTTTGTCACATATGTAACAAAAACAATCACGCCACAGAAAATTGTTGGTACAATGCTAGAGCTAACCATAGGAATCCCAAATACTCAAATACACCTTCCAAATTTTGTGCATATTGCAAAAGAAATAACCCCTACAATTGACCAGTGCTTTAGGCGTCCTGCTAAAAGGGAACAGTTTCCAAAAAACTTCTAAAGCAGGGAAGTCAACTACCACAAAATAGATATTTGGCTTCTTAAGATAAACAAATACACACGAGATATTTCTGGAACACAACTAAATGTTTCCCTCATTTCAACAAATCATCAATCTTAGAACCATAGTAATTCAAAATGTAATATATTTTCACCATTAAGCCCTCAATACCAATGCAACTTTCCAACAATTGAGGATTCGTTTCGTGTAAAACATAAAGTTAAAGTAACCCCAATAATTAAATCACTTCCTCCAAGAAACACAATAACATCAAGAAATATTCAACACACACAACTCAAGAACCAGACCATCATCATTCCTACAGCTACTGCTCATCCTAAGACGACCTTGCAATCAGCTGATGGAGAGGATAACGCACCACAACAAACGCCTACGTCAAAAGCGTTGACTCGCTGCTGCCTAGGAACACCGACTCAGCAACTAACTTCACAGCACTGCACAGCTGATCAGCCCAAGACTCTACGTGCCACATCTGTAAACTCTTCAAGACCTTCAACGTCGGATGACAACAACAGCTTCAGTACGAGTACATCACTTCCAGGAACCTCCACGGATAGAAACGTGGATGCAACAACTACAGGAGTTTGTTTAACAGCTAGTGAAGCAACAACCCTCCAGAATAAAATCGACAAAGAAGTTTTCCAACAAAGTTCTAAACACCTAAATTTGAGAACCCTAATTAAATGTGATAAAAGACAATCTAAATGCACACTATCGGATATTTATGATTTAATTTTTAATGTTAAGCAAACAAAAACATTACCTACATTGACACTAAATATTGATATACCAGAAAATGGACAGACTTATTCAGCTACCTTAGATACTGGTTGCAACTATTGCCTGATAAAATCATCAATTGTAAATAACCTATCCTTTCAAACAGATAACTTACCCTTAATTGTAGCTGCTAACGACCAACCAGTCAAAGTATTAGGAAAACTTTTACTACCAATAACAATTAATGGCTCTGTGTATCCAACCGACTTTTACGTAATTGAAGATTTGGCAACTGACCTAATCTTGGGAAATTGGTTTTTATTCCAAAACTGCATGGAATTGGATTTTAAGAAACAGGAAATCAGACTAACGAATAAAGATAAAGTTCATTGCATCACAATGGACAAATCTTGGTTACTTAATTTAAAACCGTTTGTTCTAACAACAATAGCGGAGTCTAGTAATGAGATGGTTGAAATTAAAGTTCCTACGGACACAGTTATTGCTCCCCAACAACACTACAAACTAATGGAAATCTTGCCAGAACATCATCAATACGAACTTGATATAGATTTAAATTACCGAGACAAAAAGAACCTCCACTTTTATATCTCATCAGAAAACGAAAATTCACAAAAATTTATTTACGCTTACAATGCAAGTAAATCTCCAAAATGGTTAAAACAAAATGTAATATTAGGTTATTTAAAACCAAATGCCGAAGTAAAAACAAGAACATGCACACATCCACCTAAAATAAAACCACTTCATCCTTCTAAAACAATTGCACTTGACAGAAATGGCAACCCACTTGATATAAATCCAAAATTGACAGTCAATCAGCATAATAAGTTAGCAGCAATATTATTTAAATTTAGCCACATGTTTACTAACAAGACAGAAGATTTAGGTCCAGCTAAACTACCACCAGTTAAACTTAACCTAAAATAAGACGCTAAACCAGTATATCATCCTCCTTATAGGCAAAGCCTAAAAGAACGCAAAATCCTTCAAGAAGAAATCGAAAAATTAACAAAGGCAGGTATACTCGAAGAATCGCCCGAATACACAGAGTTTGCCAGCCCAATGTTCGTAATAACCAACTCTGACAGCTCATCGCGTGTAATATCTGATTTGAGATCAGTTAACAAATGTTTAGAACAACAAAATTTCCCCATAGTCTCAGTAGATTTGGTCTTGTCTTGTTTATCTGAAATGACTTATTTTACCCACTTAGATTTGAAAAACGCTTTCTTTCAGTTAGAAATAGCCCCAGAAGACAGAAAATATTTAACTGTTATAACACAAACAGGAATGTATCAGTTTAGAAGAATGCCACAAGGGCTATCCATTGCTACAGTAGCTTTCCAAAGAGCCATAACTAGAATTTTATCAAAACATTTGTATAGCAGATGCATACCATTCATTGATGACATCACAGTGTTAGGAAAAACATTTGGCGAACAGTTGGAAAACATAGAAATTATTTTACAAGAGCTAAACAATGTTAACCTAAAGCTAAACTCAAAAAAGTGTCAATTCATGTACGATAAAATAAACATACTTGGACATGAAGTAAGTTCTAAAGGCTGTTTGCCATTAAAAACAAATATAGAATCCATAATTAAATTTAAAACCCCAACTACCATTAAACAAGTAAGATCGTTTCTTGGAGCTGCAAATTACTTCCGTAGATTTGTTAAAAACTTTGCAAAAATAGCCATGCCCTTAACAACACTCATAAAGGAATTCAACGCAACGAAGAAGTTTCAATGGACAAACGACTGTGAGACTTCATTCCAGAAACTCAAGACGATTCTCACCTCACCGCCACTTCTCAGCCACTTCGTAGAACACAGAGAGACCAGAGTGTACACAGACGCATCAAATTATGCTATAGGAGCAGTAATGACCCAGTATGATCCAGAAACATCTACAGAACATCCTATTCAGTATTTAAGTAGAAAACTAAAACCAAATGAAGTTAACTACAGCGTTTCAGAAAAAGAATTCTTATCCTTAGTCTATGCATTGGTAAAATGGAGAGAATTTTTATTCAGAAGAAAGGTAAAGGTTTTCACTGATCATTCTGCATTGCAATATTATAAATCATTTAAAGGAGCTTCCTCTAGACTCACCAGACTCTCGAATTTA